AGTTGGTTCCACAGGAGAGGAGCCTGAGAACTAAAAGATCTGTCAACATGATCAGTCTGTCCAATAAAGTCTAAACATTAGAGGTAAGGGTGAAACGTATCATACAGGAGCTTCCTGTCTTCTAGCTTTATATATATATTTTAGTGTTTTCAGGTTTATGCATTAATCAGATTAATTAATTAAACTTGACCCGGTCAATAGGTGGCGGCAATGTGCCTAAAGCTGTTTGCTCAGTTGACTGCCTAAAACTGAAGAAGAAGAAATAAATGGCAATTTTACTTAAAGGTGTAGGGGAGGATTTTTCTCGAATTTTTGAAAAGACCTTCTGTCTCCCCTTAAAAATAAATGCGCATGCACAACTATGCGCCCGTTCCTGAGAGGGAATGTCTATTAAACGCGTGCAAGAGCGTGCACGAGCCAGTTTCTCCTTGTGCACGCTCGGTTTAAAAGTTGCTTTTTGCATCGCCCATTCAAGCTTACTTTCCAAAAGATTTGCAATTTTTAGTCCTTTAATCCTGGAAATGTTCTTCAGGTGATAAAAGGCTGACTTAGCAACTGCCTTTATGTCCCATTGCAAAAGGTCAGATTAAAAGTGAAATTACACAATTTGTCATTAGTTTTTTATAAACATGGAGCAGCATTTATTCACCTTTTATAAAAACAAACAGTGGATCCCAGGCAAACAAAAACACTTTAATGTTTCTTTGCAGACAAGACTGTGAATCAGAGAGTAAAAATATCTCCAGTTACTACAACAAACAGCTGATAACCCCCCCCGTCCCGCACCATTAGGGGCTAAATCAAGCAGCCTTTGTTTCATCACATTGGATTTCAAGGTTTTAATCAGCAGTTAGAGTGCTTTGCTTTTTAGCCCTTGAAGGGTAAAGTACCTTTTTAAAGTAAGCATTTCCCCTTTTTTCAATCAGCATATTTAGAAAGTCTTTGCTGCAGTGGTTTCACCTTCTACCCGCCTCTCTGCTTCAGGGTTCGCTCTATTGCACACAGATCTATGCTGCAGAAATGGAGCTTATTCCCTGACAGAATACAGCATACTTTATGCACATATTTTTTTTTCTTTATGAATTGTTCTTATGTGGTGATTAGTAAAATCTGATTCTGCAAGAAAAGATAAAGTTGAAAACTACATGAAATAAATATTTAATAGATGTATAAACATATCTTTAGTTTATTTCATTATGTGTAATGTTCCTCTAAAATAACTTTCCTTACAGAAAATCCCTATTTAATCCCTTATTTAATTTTCCTCTTGGATCAATAAAATGTTTTTGAATTAAATTAAAATTTTCTGTTCATGTTCTATTGCAAAATGAACCTGAAACTGTATTTCATTGAGTTTCATATGAAATAAGGACATGAAATAGTTCATAATTGTAAAGTGGAAGGGAAAGAAAGTATTGCAAATTTATTTTCAGGACAAATAAGTTAGAGTGTCGGACATTTGTGTTCATCTCCCTTAATTCTCGTCAAACACTGAGCAGCTGACTGCAATAAGAGATCTTCTGGTAATTCATCATCTCACAGTCCAGCTGTTTGCAGCTTTTCCTCTGTAACTGCAGCGCAGTAAAAGGAACTAAAGAACAACGTAGATAAAGTCCAATATATATTATTACTCCTTTAAAAACACATCAGAGATCAGAGAAGAAGTTAATGTATTACAAATTGAAAAAAGGAGAAAACAAAATCTTGCGTACAGTTTTCTGTTTGCAGTAAATGTTGAAGGTGGTCTGGTCAGGTGGGCCAAAGCAGAAGTTTATTGGACACATGGAAATTGTAAAAGCAAAAACTAACAATCTACATCAGCCTGAACACAACATCCCAAAGATAAAACACGGTGAAGGCGGCATCATGCTGAGGGTTTCATCAGAACTGATAAGAAAACAGGTGAAGCTAAATGCAGGAAAACCACCAGAAAATACAGCAGAAGAATCACTTTGAAGGCTTAGATCAAGGAGAATGGCCTAGTCAAAGTTTTAACCTCAACCCAACTGAAGTAGGAATACCATTTAATTTCAACCTAAACACATGACCTCTTATAACTGTGGTATTTATACTGCTGTACAAGTTTTTCAATCAACTAGGGATTATCTGGTTTGTTTGTTTGTTTGTTTAATCAGATGTTTATCTTCTATATATCCATTACATCAATAGTTGTAAGTTAGAATATTAAACCGATAATGAGAAATATAAAAATCGGATTGTGTTAAGAGATGCACCGATTCGTTTTTTTCCCGATTTAATCTGATACTGATACCTGGGCCGATATCTGATGGAAATCTGATTCAGCTGTTGAATGAACGGACCAAATATCTCGCCATGTTGGTGAAGGCTTTAGCCTCGTCTTAAACATTGTTTAAAATTGATCGATATAAAGTGCACTGGATTGAATCTCTGATATCAAACCGTCGATATCCGATCGAGTCAATATCAGAGCCGATATCCGATCTAGGTATCGGATCGGCGCGTTTGTAAGTGAGATCTGAGCTTTGAGCTAAAAGACCAAAATTTGGCCTGTTGGTCTAAAGGCAGAAATCAAACCTCATGACGGAAAATAACCGACTTTATCACAGAAGAAGATAAACCAAGAGTTCAGATCAGGATTAGCCTAGTCAGACTTTATCCGCTCTCTTCTTAAAGAGATTCACCGCCTCCTCGCCCCTCCTACCTGATTTTAACTCTTTCCAGGTCGTCCACCAGGTTGTCTCGCTCCACCTCCAGGCGTGACCTCTGATTGGTCAGGATCTCCACCTGCCTCCTCAGCTCGCTCATCTCCTCCTCGTACAGGTCGGCGATGCGCGTGGGCTCCCGCCCCCGCAGGCGCTCCACCTCCACCGTCAGCGCCTGGTTCTGCTGCTCCAGAAAGCGGACCTTCTCGATGTAGCTGGCAAAGCGGTCGTTCAGGTGCTGCAGCTCGGCCTTCTCGTTGGTGCGCGTGGTCAGGAACTCCTGGTTGAGGGCGTCTGCCAGGTTGAAGTCCAGCGTCTCCCCCATGCCGGCGTGGGAGCGTCCAACAGAGACCCTGGAGGCCCCCAGGGGCCTGCCATGGTAGCTGGAGGACACGCGGTAGTTGGGTGCGGCGCTGGTTCGGGTCACTTCGTAGACCCTGGAGGTTACGTGACCCCCGCTGCCTCCGCTGGGGCCCAGGAAGGAGCGGTTGAGGGAGGGCGAGGCGTAGGTGCCATGACCGAAGGTGCGGCGGTAGGAGGAAGCGGACTGGGCAGAGGAGGAGTAGGCCGTCATGTTGGAGGAGACAGAGATCCTGAAGGGGCTGCAGCAGAGCAGAGCAATGAGGAGTACAGAACTGGCCCTGGGTATTTGTAGCCACCCCCTCCCTAATGCCTCCCCCCTCCTCTCCTTGAACAGCCCTCCCTCCCCCTATCCTCCCTGGTTCTCCTCCAGCCTCTGCTCTCCTCCTGTGGAAGTAAAGCATCAGCTGGAGTTTCTGTTTCTGTTTATGGTTCTTCTTCTTCTTTGGTGTCATAGTCTTCATTCTTTTCATCCTTTGGATTATTTTAGCAGTGTTATTCATCTGATGCCTGATGCTTTGAGAAACGCCTCCCTGCCATCATTTTGGGAAGCTTTGGAGTTCTGGAGGGCTTCCCGTCCCAGTAATCAGCACCTTAACATTATCGCTTCTTCCAGACCAACATTCAGTTCATTGTCCTAAACAAACCATTCCACATCCTGTGCATTGCTTCTGTCTCCTTGAACCCCAGTGGGCCTCAGCAGATGGCCGCTCACACTGAGCCTGGTTCTGCTGGAGGTTTCTTCCTGTTCAAAGG